AAAGTCAACATGATATGACAATATCAAAAAAGAAATGGAACGTGAAGTAAAAAATTTGTTACGGAGTACATTTTTCTGCTCCCAAGCATTTCTTGTTGATAAAATTTGTTTTTTTTTTCAATAGATATTCAGTTTAATTTCTTCACACAGATATATTTTATCAAAATTTAGGACGACGTAGGCCGCAGCGTGGTTAAGGGCGACCAACTTAGACCCTAGCCCGCCCCAAATTTAAAAACGCCTTTATTCTTTGTGTTATATATTTTTTCAATTATATTCTTTGAATCGGCCCGGTGCCTTGGCTCTGCCCTTGGAGTCCAGGTCACAACAACCCAAGGTTGTCAACCTTCCTCTGTTTGGCTTTCAAGTTGTTAATGGCATGGCTCAGTTGAGCACCTACATTCTTAATCATGTGTGCCTCGTCAAGAACAACTCTCCATCAGTCTATCATTTGCAGTGGTGAGTTCAACATCGCATATTCATTAGCCAAAATAGTTAAGGGTCAACACTAAGTCATACTGTTAGCTTGTTTGGTTCAAAGGAGGGGAGGGAAGGGGAGAGTTAAAGAGGGGAGGAAAGGGAAGGAGAAGGAAGAATTTTGATTAAAAAAAATTGTGTTTGGTTGGAGGAAATAAAAGGAAAGGTTTAATGAAAATATTTTTCCAATTTACCTTTATTTTGATAGCTTACTTAAAAAAATAGATGCATCTCTAATTATTGTAAATATTACTCCTAAAGCCCTTAGTCATAATTTTGATTTTTTACCTTTTTAGTTTTATAATTTTTTATCTTATAATTTTTATTTGTTAATTTTATTTTACAATTTTCCATTTTTGAATTTTTAATTTTTTAATTTTTTAATTTTTTAACTTTTTAATTTTTTAATCTTTTAATTATAAAATGTTTAATTTTATTTATGTTTTACTTTTTTATATTATAATGTTTTGTCCATTCACGTAGGAAATTGATAGTTTGTGATTATCAACATGTTTCCTTCAAAATACTCCGATTTGGGGGGTTTAAAATGGGAGAAAGTGGAAAATTTTTGAAGTCTTTCACTTTCCTCCCCTTTTCCCCAATTTTCTTCAACCAAACACACACAAATCTCTCACTTTCCTCTCCTCCCCTCTGAAATCCTCCAAACAAACAAGGCCTTAAGGGCGTTCCACGTTGGCATGTTTATTCCTCTTACTGCCATAATACATGTAAACCTTCTTCAAAAAACCAACTTTTGTGTGTTCTTGTAAGTGTATTATCGACACTGAAAACACACCTAGCGGACACACAACCAAAGTCATTATCGTATGTGAAGAGGAGACCATGTTAAAACACATTTCTTTCAGTTTCCCCGCTAGCTCGCCCGCTCCCAGACCTTCACCAAAAGAAGAAATGGGTATATCTTCCATTTCCTCCAAATCTACAAATTTATCCAAAGCAACCAATGAAAGAATAGTGAGGGTTCAACCCAAACCCATTTCATCTACGAAGATCCCACCACGGATGGGATCAAGAAATTTTGCAATACATTAATTCCCATTGCATTTACAAAAACCCTATATCTTTCCTCCCAGAAAGGAGGCAAATATTTGGCTCTCCTGCTGGACCAACATAGTAAGTGAGGCCCAATATGCTAGACGCCCAATATGTTAGACGCCCAATATGAAGATGATGAAGAAGAAGATGAGATCTCGGCAAACAAAGCACCCGTGCAATGTCATTCTCTTCTCTTAAATTTATGATTTTCTCTAAAATTTACAATTGTAGACATTGGAGCACAACCAAACCATTTTTAAATTTTATTATAAGCTATTCACATTAGAGTTATTGGACTACATAAGCCAACTAAATTATAATATAAGGGGGATTTCTGAAATATTAGTGAAAACTTTTGATAATTCCAAAATTATATTGTCATATTTTTTTATTTCATAATGTTTTTGTTCCATAATTCCATAATACAAGTGTGCAAGATATGTGCATAAAGTGTGCAGTGTGCACAAGATGTGCAAAAGAGGTGCACAAAATATACACAAATCCCATTGTAAGCAACAATTTTCAAACTCATATAGCTGAACTACTCCCTCTTATTACTTATTATTATCTTAATTTCACGTGACATAAAACTAAAGCTCCACATGAAAAAAAAATCATGGTGGGGAGACAAACTCCAAAAAAGAAAAAGAAGTGAGAGAACTACTTTTACCGGCCAGAAGCCGCAAAATTCCCATCTGATCTCCATGAAAAAAGGGGCATTGTATCAAAGTGTTCCAGTAGTTCTTGACAGAGAAAGGCCCAACCCTAAGAAACACCATAAAAGAATACAAATCAAATGGGCTATTCTAAACTGGAGTCCCGGTCACAACCCACCTCCGTTTGGCTTTCAAGTTGTTAACGGCACGGCTTGTTGAGCATCTCCATTCTTAATCATGTGTGCCTAGTCAAGAACAACTCTCCACCACTCTATCATTTGCAGTGGTGAGTCCGACATCGCATATTCATTAGCCAAAATGGTATAAGTGCTCAAAACTAAATCATATTGTTAAGGCGTTGGCATCTTTAGTCCTCTTGCTGCCATAATACATGTAAACCTTCTTCAAAAAACCAACTTTAGTGTGTTCATCTAACTGTGTTATCCACACTGAAAGCACAGCTGGCGGACACACAACCAAAGTCGTTCTCGTATGTGAAGAACAGACCATGTTAGAACACATTTCTTTCATGGTCTCGTAGCTAGCTCACCCACTCTCAGAGCTTTCACCAATAGAAGAAATGGGTATATCTTCCATTTCCTCCAAATCTACAAATTTATCAAAAGCAACCAATGAAAGAATAGTCAGGGTTTTACCCAAACCCATTTCGTCTGCGAAGATCCCACCACGGATAGGATCAGGACAGCTCTCTGTACTGTAATTCGCCAATGCGTTGACAAAATGCCCATCTATTTCCTCCCAGCAAGGAGGCAAATATTTGGCTTTCTCCTGCTGAACTAGCCACCATAATCCTTCCTTCTGATGTGGAAGAAGTTCAGACCATAGAAACATAAAACGCCTAAACCAACGCGATCTGCGTCCCGAACGTCGCGTACCCAAACGCGGTACGAAAGCGTACCAGACGCTATTCGGATCGCAGGTCGGATCGCCAGGCCAATCGATCTCAATCGCTGCACAGATCGTTTCGCATCGCTAAAGAATACGTTCCCAAACTTACCTGGTGTCGATCGCAACACCATCCTGGAACGCGTTGAATCGCGATTTCCGAACCAGGGGCATTCAATCGGTCACGATGCATCGAACACTGTTTCCGAACGCGTTAAATCGCGATGAAACATGTGCGGAAACTAGACAGACGCGAATTTTGAATTTTCTACAGCTCTAATCTCTTCGATTTATGTTCAACGTAATCGAGGTTCACAACTCCCCTCAACTATTCACTTCTACGTTCATCAGCCTATATAATGGGGTGGAAATTGTTCCAACTCTCAGCCTATTTCAGTCTTCATCATTCAGCTTTCTACCCTCCACTCTTGAGTCTTGACTTATACTCTAAAGTCTTAAAATGGTGTTTGGGTCTGGTTCATCTTGTAGAGCAGAGTCCCCGGCCACTTATAATTTAACAGACAGTGACACAGAAGAGTCTGTTATGAAATCATGTTATGAAATCTGTTTTTGTTCTATGTTGAAAATATGTATTCTATAATTCAGTTTTATAGTTTATTATAGTACCAAACTATAAGGTACAGCGTACCAAACATATGGTACATCGTACCGAATGCGTACCGAAATGAACCTACCCCCCTCCGTATCGGATACGCTAGATCTAGCGAACCGCGTTCCCGTTCCGCGTTCCCGTATCGAACCGTACCGCGAACCATGTGACTATGGTTCAGACTTTATGATGGCATTTGGAGGGTCTAATGTCCCCAAAGCTTTCTTCTCACCGAGAACCTTAAAAATCTCATCTACGTTTCTCCTCACAGCAGCATCCACATGTTCTTTCACAATGGGTAACTCTGATAAAGCCATAGAAGGGTCATTTGCAGAAATGAAGTGCAACCTAGCAGTTTGAATTATGGATTTGACAGTTGTGAATGCAGATATCGTGGCAAAGATGTGAATTTGGCATGGGATCTCATAGATGTATCCTTCCCAATACATCTTTGGCATAACACCTAGTTCATCACACCAACACAAGTAAATGCAGAGCTTAACCAAAACAAAACACAGACTATGATCCTTACAAACATCAGAGTTTATATATTGTACAAGGCAAAATGACACCAATCATCATAGATACATAGATATACCTTGGATCATGATTATCCCATAATCCATGAGAGGAGATAAGACTCGGGCAGCGGAGGACTCGATGTGACCGACCTCTTCGTTGAGAAGGTTGAACACCTGGATAGCAAGGAAGTCACTGGGGTTGAATGGTTGACGGACAAGCTTCACCAATTCGCCGCTGATGAAACCGCTGGCATAGCATCTGAGGCACAAAATGTTGGCCGTCACCAAGCCCACCAAGTACATGTCGTCAGCCAGCTGCGGTGAGGATGAAGAAGCAGAAGATGAGCTCTCTGCAAACTGATCAGCACCAGTGAAAGGGTCGTCCAGCATCATGAAGGGCTGTGCTGGGTCTTGATCATTCGCCATTTCAATTCCTTGAAGCTTTTGTGGACGATGAAGCTTTTGGAATGGAGAAAATGAAAGTGGAGTGTGTTTCTGTTTTAGTAGACGATGAAGGTGTTGGCGGTGGAGGGTTATAGAGGGAGTGCAGAGTTTATAACAAGAGAGGGAGAGACCGATTAGTAACGGCAGATTTTATGTCATTTTTGGAAGTGGTCATGTTGACTTTGGCAGATATTTTGAAAATTCAGGAGCCAACTAAACTATAATATCAGGGGGGATTTCGGAAAAAAAGTAAAAACGTTTGAAAATTCCAAAATAAGATTGTTATAATTTTTTTTCCCATCATGTTTTTGTTCCATAACTCCATAATATAAGTGTGCAAGATATGTACATAAAGTGTGCAATGTGCACAAGATGTGCAAAAGATGTGCAAAAGATGTGCACAAGATGTGCACAAAAATATACATAAATCCCATTGTAATGCAGATATCCTGGCAAAGATGTGAACTAGGCATGGGATCTCATATATGTATCCTTCCCAATACATCTTTGGCATAACACCTAGTCCATCACACCAACACAAGTAAATGCAGAATTTAACCAAAACAAAACACAGACTATGATCCTTACAAACATCAAAGAATGGCAAAATTGACACCAACCATCATAGATTCATGGATATACCTGCGATCATGATAATCCAATCATCCATGAGAGGAGATAAGACTCGGGCAGTGAAGGACTCGATGTGGCCAAGCTCTTCGCTGCAAAGGTTGAGCACTTGGATAGCATGGAAGTCACAGGGGTTGAATGGTTGACAGACAAGGTTCACCAATTCGCAGGTGATGACACCGCCGGCGTAGTGTCTGAGGCACAAAATAATGGCAGTCACGAAGCCCACCAGGTACATGTCGCCAGCCAGCTACGGTGACTCGGTGAGAATGAAGAAGCAGATGATAAGCTCTCTGCAAACTGATGAGCACCAGTGAAAGGGTCATCCATGAAGGGCTGTGCTGGGTCTTGATCATTGGCCATTTCCTTGAAACTTTTGTTGCTGTTCTTTGTATCTGGAATGGATAAAATAAAAATGGAGTATGCTTTCTGTTTTAGTAAACTATGAAGAAGTTGGCGGTGGAGGGTTATATAGGGAGTGCAGAGTTTATAATAAGAGAGGGAGAGACCGATTAGTAACGGCAGATTTTACATCATTTTTGGAAGGTGAGAACTTCGGTACCATTCACTTGATTGGTCCAGATAGATATATCATTTTTAATTTAGACTTAAATAATTCAACTACAACATTCTGATTGGTCCATGTGAGCAAAGGTATGGTACCTTATGGGTACTATAGAATCTACCTTTTTGGAAATGGTCATGTTGACTTTGGGGCTTAAAACCTGATGCAGTGACGCTTCTCCCAATTTGTTTGAATTAGGCTCAATTTGTTGATATTTATGAAAGTTTTATTGAAATAGCTGATCTGCTGATTTATTGAAAGATCACTTTTATTAATAAAATAAAGAAAAAAAATTAGATGAAAAATAGCTGGGATGGTTCTTTACAATAATTTCACTCAGAAAAAACAACCATAACCTCACTTGTTTTGATTATTACTCAATTTGGTGTAATGGAAAGATCGTGACAACTTAATACTCCAAAGTAGTTAAAATCATTCCCAAAGTTTGTTATCATTGACCAAGAAAAAATAAATTGACTGAGTTTTATGGGGCGAGGAAAGTATTACATTTATATTGTAATATTACATTTTTTATTATAAGATTAATAACAAAGGTTATAATTTTGAGCCACTTATAAAGGTTATAATTTTTAGCCACTTATAAAGGTTATAAATTTTACAACTTAATGATTAAATTAGCTTTTCTGACTGAATGAATAAGTCATATTTTCAATTAAGTCGTAAGTAAAGATGACTTGATGACTAAATGATTAAGTCACCTTCCTCATTAAGTCCATTGAGTCATAAGTAAACGGCTCCTTAGTGTATGTTCATATATACATGGATGGGAGTCAAAGAAAAATACCTTTTAGTACGTGGCATGGGAGTTTTAAAGCTAAATAAAATACTTATTAGTTACATGATTGTAGTAAAAGAAAATTACCTTTTATAGTTATCTTCCACGTGCTTGCATTTTTGAAAGTGTTGAATAATTATCCTATAGATAGTGTTTTCATATAGACATATACAGCACTTTTCTATAAAAGAAATTAAACGATCATTCACAGTATCTGACTTCACAACTTAAATTAGATTTCACAAAATTTTCATTGCTGGAAATGCTTATTCTACACGGTTGTAAGAGCAAGTGAGGTCAATGCAACCTTTAAAAGTAAATAAATTAACTGATAAACATTATCAGGGACGGACCTAGGTATAGGGGTAGGGGGCATTGCCCCCCCCCCCCCCCCCCCGCAACTTTTTTATTTTTTACTAGTACTAGTACTAGATATGAAATTATCAGAAACAATTAGGTCAGAACTACATGATAGAAGCCTCTATTTTAGGTCCTTTTCGGGTAGAATTTTTTGATGAAATTTTGTAACCATGTTTTTCATGAAGTGTAAATTATGTAACCTGAAAGCTTCTGATGGTACGAAGAAGAGGTCCGACTCGGATTGCTTTGTTGGAGTGTCATGAGGATGCACATTTTGCAAAAGATGTGAGCACATCATCTAATAACTACGTCTTTTGGGGGTGGTATGCAAATTGAGGAGTCCATGCCATTGCGATCTTGTAGTGCCATTAGCATCTTGGAGAGCAGTTCTGTACATCTATTTCTGCTGCAATCAGCATCACACTCACGCTGATTATTTACCAAAAAAGTAAAAGGCTCGAATAAGTATTCCTTCATTATATATAACGTTTTCCGTTTCAGATCCTTCATCCTTGAAATATGATTTATTTGTTATTGTTATTTATCCCTTCATGATTCTAATTGGCCGTGTTTTCATTTTAGTAAATCCTCATCAAAGTTCTTTTTAAAGGCTTAATGGAGGTTGAAGTTTGGTCACGCTATCAAATAACCCTAAAGTTTCTCAAGTTTGCATGTAAACCTTTTTGAAGAAAACTCCTTTGCCACAAAAATATGATAGGATTTAATGATATCAGTTGGAATTAAGTGTTTTGGACATAAGAGTTCTATTTCTAATGCATCTTACAGATTAACATGTTTATGTTTTTCACTACTTAAGGAAACAAATATTTGGAACCAGTGTTGAGTAATTTAGACATGAAATACTCAAACTCCTACTCATAGCAAATGGAGTAACATCATACCATCTATAGAAATCTAAGATGACAAATGGTATATTTAGTAATCTAATCAACCCTCAGGAGAGGTAGAAGAAATTAAATGAAAACACACTATGATCAGCAACTGGGTAAACGTATCAAGCACAAATAGAATAAAAATAAAATGATGCAATGCAGAGAGGAGACAGCAGGGGGGACCAAAGTCAGCTTACCTCCAATTTTAGCTGTTGGAAGGAAATCTCAAAGTTTCGCAGGAACCAAGGACACATCTGCACATATTTTGTAGTCCAATAATTCTTCATTGAACATTCCTCACAGATATAGTTTTTAATAATTTCCTTGCCTATAAATTTCATCTGCTCATAAATTCCCCTTTCTGCTTCAGAGAGTTCCAGATAATATGTCAATATAGTTTTTGTTGGCAATCCAACCAGTGTTTTGTCTTTTGTTCTTCTCAATGACATTGATTACATTAGAGCCTGATATGGCAAAAATAGAGTCACTGACAGTTAGAGATCTACCCAAAGTCCCAAACCACAATGTTTCTTATAGGCAGGCCTGCAACAATAATGTAATTAGAATAGCAATAGCAATGGAAGAGAAAACACAATTGTAATCTAAGATAAGGAAAAGAATGCACAAAAAGAGCGAGCAATTGTTCTTATTATCTTTTTATTACTTCCGACTCAAGAAAACCGAGTTATTGAAAGATGCAGCTTTTAAATGTTACTAGAGGACCTAGTAACCACAAATTAGGTGATTACATCTGATAATAGTCTCTAACTTTCAAACTCATATAGCAGAACTTTTTTCTCTTATTTCTTGTTATCTTGTGTTAGAGACCTGCAATTCTAGTCTAGCAGATCACAGAATTGAATCAAGAACTCAAGGCAACCTTTATTGAAATCTCCTTAGGCAACTGGCCGAAGCCCCCAAATGAAAAGAAAGAGAAGCTCGTCTCTCAATTTCCAACCCCAAGACTAAATGTCTAAAACAGCCTCCTTACAATCTCCTACTATAGTCTACTTATAGTAATGAAGGCTAACCACCGATAGTTATTTGCTCATAATAGACTAGACTGCTAACAACCCTATTTCCTTCTAGAATACACTTTATTAGAGTATTTATCTCTTCTCTTCAGTTTAGTAAAGTCTCTATCATCTTGTCCTGAAACAAGATAACGTACTAAGTTGAAACAAGATAACTATTTCTCGTGAGGTAACAATATACCATCCACGGAAATCTAAGTTGACAAATGGTATATTTAGTAATTTCATCCACTCTCAGGAGAGGGTACATGTAATTAAACAAAAAATGCAATAATCACGAATGGGCGAAAGCCACAAAACGTACTAATCCAACATAGAATAAAAAAAACGATGCAGTTCAGACAGGAGAAAGCAGGGGGTACCAAAGTCAGCTTACGACCAATTTCAGATGTTGAAAGTAAATCCCGAAGCTCTGCCAGTGCAGGGACACATCTGCACATAGTTGTCAATGGGCGCACAAGTGCGCTCACTACAGTCCAATAATTTTATTAGAATAGCAATAGCAATGGAAGAGAAAATGTAACTGTAATACAAGGAAAACAATGCACAACAGAACAAGAAAATGCCCTTATTATTTGTTATTTATTTCCGACACAACTCCCACAAGAAAACCGAGTTACTGGACAAAAACTCGCTCCATCACTGGACGAGTAGCATGCTCCTAGTTAAATGTGAAGGATTAGAAATAAAAAATTAAGAAACTTTGAGGTTGAAAAACCCTAAGGAACTTCAATTAAATAGAATACTATTTCAAGGTTTTACTATTTCCTAAAAACTGCTAGATCTCCCTCAAGGCCTCAATATGTGTTTGTGGACATGGAGGAGAGGGAGGATAATGCTGATCTGGATCCAAATGTTGATTAATTTGGGTTAAAATTGATTGCATGGTGGGATCTTCTTTAAATGCTTTAAGAATTGCGATCATATTGTGGATTATAGTATTGTTTTTTGTTTTATACGTATAAGACCTATAAACAACTATCATTAGAAATTTGTAGCATGCTGCTTTTTAATGTTACGGAGTACTACTTACTAGAGGACCTAGTAACCGCCTATAACCACAAATTAGGCGCTTACATCCGATAATAGTCCTAATTAAAACTTGCCTTTGACGAAGTAGTTTTCAAGTAATGAAAGTGCTTAGTTCCTATAAATACTCAGCCAGATGAAAAAAGCAATGGAAAATGCAATCCCATTGTACACAACAATTTCCAAACTCATATAGTTGAACTACTTCCTCTTATTACTTATCATCTTAATTTCATAATATATACAACTAAAGCTCCACATGAAAAAAATCATGCTTGATAGACAAAGTCCAGCAAAGAAAAGAAGTGAGAGAACTGCTTTTACCTGAAGCCGCAAAATTCCCATCTGATTTCCAAGAGAAAGGGGGCACTGTATCAAACTATTCCAGTAGCTCTTGAAGGAGAAAGGTTCAACCCTGTGAAACGCCATAAAAGACAAAAACGACACCAGCTCACGCTTCTGAATTGCTTGCCTCTGGAATCCATTTCATCTTCTCCACTTAGGTTTGTCATAAAGGTGGCGTCGGAATGGCTGAGGAAGATGGTGGCCTGGATGAGGATGACTCCGATCTGAACGAGGAAGATAGGCGGACTAGCTGAGGACGATGGCGGCCTGATTGAGGACTACGGATTGCAGCAACGATGACGACAGCCCCACAACAGATGACGATGACGACGTCCTTGCAACGGGAGCCAGCGGTGGCGGCCTTGCAGCGGACCATGACGACATTTCTGAGGATGGCGAGTTGGCGACGGCCCACGATTGCAGCTACATCCTTGATTACACCAAGTGGTTACAGATCCTACCTAGGTTCAATTGACAGCGACTACGACCTTGAATTGCTAAGGGCGGCAACACATATGTTCAACGAGAAATAAAAAAATAAAATAAAATAAATAAATAAATAAATAAATAATTTAAAAAATAAAATAAAGAGAAAACTGTCAAATAGATCCTCGAACTTTCACAAAAAAGTCAAATAAGTCCTTATATAGGAGGATCTCTTCGGCCGTCGCGATTTGAATGCGTTCTCGATTGAAGTTTTAGCTGAAATTTGGTATGAGTAAACTAGACTTGATGAATAAGATGATCAAAAAAATTCATCAAAAAATTACACCAGGAACCGCACCAAATCGCGGATAGAGTCTCCTATATAAGGACTTATTTGACATTTTTATGAAAGTTCGAGGACACAGTTTTCCCATAAATAAATAAATAAAACTCTCCCTCCCATTCCTCTCATTTTAGTTAACCCAAGTACCCAACTACATGATGGTATGTAGCACCTATGGGAAAGAGGAAATGGAGAAACCGCAAAACCAAAAAAAGTAGGATACAGATACGGGAAAATGCAAAAATGAGTATGAGAATACGACGAAACAAAAAAAGTAGGATATAGATATGGGGAATATTTACAAATGTTAAAATTATGGGGCTGTATTTATAATATTACAAATTACAAGATTTTTTTAAAAAAATATACATATATCATCCCGACCCCTGCACATTCATAAATCATGACATTGAAGCATTTCATATTATCAAGATAATTAGAAATAAATTAATTATTTATCTCATGTACACTAATGCATCTCAAAATATAAATATAGTCGATAAATCATTAATTTAGAATGAGAAACGAGTCAAACAATCATAGTTTTGAAATTAGAAGTAAAAGTACTCAAAGTTATTGGATAATGAAAATAGAAAACGTACAATAGTCTTATAAAACGTAAAAGTTCTAATACATATTTCACTAGAGTTGCTAATTTCCATGAATAACATCGTGTTCCAAAACTACAACCTCCAATTCTAGTTCATCTATGGAAAAATCAGCGAACTCAAATACTCATATATTCTCCGTGCTCTCAAAGTCTTCTTCATCAACTTCCTACATTTTAAGAATTCTAGTTATGTGCGAGACTAATTAAAGATTAAATAGGGACGAAGGGAGTATTTATATACTGAAGTATTGAGATGAAAATGTTCTTTGTTAAATATAGTATTATAAAAGTATAAATTTATTAAAGTTTGCATAAATATATTAGTTAAAATAGTTGGTCAAATTTTACCATTTTTTACTAAAAAATCAAATATGACTAACTAAAATCGGACGGAGGTAGTATCTCTGTTTTTATTCATGAATAGATTTCTTCACTAAATGTATATAGAAATTAATATTCCAATTTTTCAAAAAAAATCCAGATTTCTAGCATTTTTAAATGATATCTGTGAATGCATTGGTCACTATATGTGTTTATTTGATGACTTAATCATTCATTCCAAATTTCCAATTAATGTGTTCTTTTCTTTTCCAAAAGGCACTTCAACCATGTTTTTTAGAAGTGAAACAATACATTATAATTCACTCATGTGGTGCCTCTTCTCAAGCTTAAGTAGCATTTGAACTAGAACAGATACTATGAGAGACTAGAAAATTCACCCAAAAATAAAGCAGCATTTGAACAAATAAAAAAAACTAGTATTGGACATAGTCTGCTGAGACTCTATTATTCCATCCGAAAATCGAAATCCCAACGGATATAAATAATCATCACCTACATGGTAAAGATAAGAGTTAACCTCTCTCACCACGTCCCAAATAACATTGTTGATCGGAATGTATGTCGCTTTTCAAAATACCATTTGTGACCCAAGCATTTGGACCCCCCCCCCCCCCCCCCGACTCACTGTTGACTGAAACCCATCGAATGCCTTAATAACCATCACTAAGTGAAAAATTGTGATGCCATGTGTAAAACATCGGTGTTGGAAACCTTAAGTCGTCCTCGCAAACACATTGGTGACAAAAACTTTTCACCGCCCGTACGCCGCGCGCGCCCTCCCTAACAAATCGATGACCTAAAGAAAAGTTTTTGTATATTAAATATTTCAATATTGTTTGTCAAACTTTTACATAATGGTTTTCACCTCTCAAAATTTCATACAAATCTCATATCAATGCAGTGTATCGGTTTGAAATTTATCTTATTAGGTTAGTCCTTGTACTTATGCTCTAAAATTAGGATAGATTACTTAGACAAATAAATACATGTGATTTTATTTGTAAATCTTAATTACATAGAAACTTTTTACATTCTTCACATGTGAGTTTCTTTTTTTGTTTTTTTTTCTTTTCTAGAGGAGTAGCTCTTTGATTCCCTTTCTGAGAAAGACCATCTTCTCCTTAAGGAGGCTCAGGCTATATACTTTCAATACTCGGCCCATATTAACACTTTTTAGAGGCAAAAGGCTAAGATAAACTGGCTAAAGGATGGAGATGTGAATACCAAGTTTTTTCATCTATCCCTTATGGCCCAACATAAAAAGCTTAATATTTCTCGTATTAAAATGATGATGGTAATTGGGTTGAGAAGGATGAGGATATTAGCACATTAGATATTGCCTATTTCTCTAACCTTTTCAGTGCAGATGAGGATAAAGATAATTTAGACCCTGGTGATTATCTCCATAACATTGAGGTAATTATTAGTAAGGAAGATAATATCCACATTATGAAGCTCATCTCTCCTGAAGAACTTAAGGATGTGGTGTTTAGCCTTGGCAAATTCAGTGCTTCTGGTAATGATGGTTATGATGGGTTTTTTTTTACCAATGTGCCTATGAGGTCATAAAAGATGATCTTCTTAATGCGGTCAGGGAGTTCTTTAGTGGGGTCCCTATTCTTAAAAGCATATGAGTTATAAGTTTTCAAAATTCAGACCGATTAGTCTTAGTAATTTCTTAAACAAGATTTTTACAAAAATTTATAACTAATAGAATCTCCTCTCTCCTCCCTAAACTTATCTCGGATGAGCATACTACTTTTAAAAACAGGAAGAGATCTCTGATAGCATTTTGGTCCTTCGTGAATTACTCAACCATATTGATAACAAATTCGTGGTCATAACATTATTTTCAAGCTTGATATAACGAAGGCCTTTGATAGAATCTCTTAATGTTTTATTGAAAATATTATGATTAAATTTGGGTTTCACTCTTCCTTTTTGAATCTTATTATCAACAACTTGAATGACAGTTGGAATCTAGTGCCCATTATCAAACCTTCGAGGGATGTTATGTAACACCGCCCCCAAGTATTTGTACTTTATCAAATTATGTATTGAACCCAAGAAATGAATAAAAGCATTTTACGTGATTGTGAATTTTTATCATTTCTTTTACGTGAATAGTAAAATTCACGTGGGGCCCACACCGGAAGTGGGGGCCGCCCGATAATATCGGGACCACATATTATATTCATTTGGGTCAAGATAATATGTGTATAATGGTGGGTATCCTTGTTGGACCATATAAATTAGGTGAGTAACCGATAGGGCATATGAAGCTCATTTATCGGTACCGGCGTACTGACAGATAGAAGCCATAATAAATCATGGAGACCATCAAGTTAAAAGTTGGGGAAAATACATTCATTCTTATAACCAATAATAATTGGAAGAATGAGAGATATTTCATTTTACCCGATGAAATGAAATATAGTTAAAACAGTCCGAAAAATACAACTTTCGGGACCAAGTGTACACTTGGGGACGCAAAGGGATGACCACCCATCAAAGTGGGGGCCACCCCACGTTTTTCCCAGCCTTGATTGAGGAGGTTAGAGTACCAATGTTGACTTTGGGAGGAGAGAACCGAGCTAGGGGGGGGTGTTGAGACAAGGATTGACACCATGGGGACCCTCACCTCTCATCATCATGGAAAGAGCCAATAATCACCCCAATCACTCCCAAAACCTATCCATTCGACCCAGGCCTCAATCAAAGGAAGAGGAGTGCTGCTAGGAAACCATTCCCATTGCCATTTTCGCACAAACCAGGAGGGAGAAGAAGGAGGAGAAAGGAGAAGAGAAAAAGAGAAGTTTTGGGTGGGAAAACTTGTGGTTAACAAGGTAATGATTTTATTAATCCCATTCTTCCTCCTTAATCATATTTCATACTCCTAGAATGGTTCTACACATGTAAAAGTGTAGAATGGGGGTTGAAGGGTTGGTTTATACCCAAAACAAAATTTGAGAGCAAAGTTGGCGGGTTCACCGGAAAATAACCTTTTAGAGGTTATTTGTATTGATATGGGTTTTATGATGATAAAACCTTGTTATTAACTTGTATAAGGTATTCCAAGAACTATCACGGAGTTGAAAGGGTCGCCGGAGTTGTCGCCGGAGTTAGTTTAAGTTCACCGGAGTTCCACCGGAGCTCAATAAAGAAGGCTAGAACTTCATAAGCTTCATTAAGGTGAGAAGACGGCTATATGCTTTATAACTTTTGATTGAGGCATGAGATTACCTAAAGTAATCAAGTATATGTTTTACGGAATGATTAAAGTTAATCAAGTATTGGCTTATGCCATGATTATATATAAACAAAGTTGAAAAGCATGTTTTGTATGTTTGGTGATTAAAAATGTGATAACTTATTATGTACAATGATCCAGGGGTCAAAAATGGTATTTTTGGATCAAGGACTTCAAGTGGATTATGCATGTAAAATTTCACGTTAATCGGACTCCGTTTGGGCGGTCAAACGGGCGTTGACCGCCAAGTCAACTACAATACCCGACCGGGTGTCTGCTGAAAAAATTGGCCCCAAGGGCCGCTGTCTCCTATACCCGATCGAGTATGGATAGATACTCGATCGAGTATGCCTTGAAAATTAGCCTTATGGGCTCCTGTCTCCTGTACTCGACCGAGTATTGATGGGTACTCGATCGAGTATTGGGTTATACTCAAAACAGGTAGTTTTTGAGTAGGTTAACGTGGACCGATCAGGTGGGACCCGTCCATGATGGTTACTAAGGATTGTTATATGACTATAGGA